CAGCACTCCTGGCACACCAGCTGTCAGGAAATCAAAAGATGAACCACATTAGGAAAGTCTGCTGTTAGGAACCTCACTGGCGTACTGAAGAGCAACTATGTCAGTCTGAAGACTAAGGTGCACCTGATCCAGGCCATGGCTTTGCAATCACTAGCTATGCATCAGAGTGCTAGACAATGACTAAGGATGATAGAAGAATTGATGCCTTTGAGTTGTAGAGTTGTGGTGCTGGAGAAGAGTGTTGACTACACCGTGGACTTTCAGGAGAACAAACAGGTCTGTCCTGAAGAGGGTGAAACCAAGCCAGTCCCTGGAGGCAAGGATTTTGAAGCTCCATCTCACATACTTTGGGCATGTGGCCAGAAGGGACTAGTCCTTGGAGAAAGACATCATGCTGGGGAAGACGCAGGAAAGGAGGATCTAGGATGAGATGGATTGACTCAGTAATTGGGGTAATGGGAGTAGGTCTGTCGGAGATGATGAGATTGGCTCTGGATTGGGCAGGGTTCAGTGCTATTGTACCTAGGGTCGCTATGAATCGCACGACTCAATGACACATAACAACACTAAAAGAAAGATATTTACTTGTGTTTTATTGATTATGCAAAAGCATTTGACTATGTGGATCATGATAAATTATAGACTAACATTGAGAAGAATAGAAATCCTAGACTACGTAACTGTGCTCATAGAAAACTTGTATATAGATCAAGAAGCAGTCATTTGATCAGACAAAGGGATACAAGGTTTAAAATCAGGAAAGATGTGTGCTTTTTCCACTTCTGTTCAATATGCATGCTGAGCAAATCATTTAAGAAGATGGGCTCTATGAAGAACGAGGTGGCATCAAGAAAGGAAGGAAGATTTATCAACAACCTGTGTTTTGCAGATGATACAACCTTGCTCGTAGAAAGTAAAAAAGACTTGAAACACTGAAGAAAAATCAAGAATACAGCCTTCAATGTGGATTACATTTCAGCAACAATAAAAAAAACAAAAAAACAAAAAACCAAAACCTTCACCACTGAACCAGCAGGCATCATCATGATAAACGGAGAAAAGACTGAAGTTGTCAACTATTTCATTGTACTTGGATCCACAATCAACACCCATGGTTCCAGCAGTCAAGAAATCAGAAGACAAGTTGTATTGCGGAGACCTGCTGTCAAGGATCTATTTAAAGTTCTAGGATCTCTTTAAAGAGCAAGGATGTCAATTTAAAGACTAAAATATACCTGACCCAAATCATAGTATTTTCAATTACTTCATATGCATGTGGAGGTTGGATTATAAATAAAGAAATCAAAGAAGGAACTGATTCCTTTGAATAGTGGTGTTGGTGAAGAGTACTGAATATACACAGACTGTCAAAAGAACAAGGCGATCTGTCTTGGAAGTGCAACCAAGGTGCTTCTTAGAGACAAGGATGGTGAAACTTCATCTCACACACTTTGTGCATGTTGTCAGGAGGGACCAGTCCTTGGAAAATGATGTCATGCATGCTGGGAAAAGTAGAAGGTCAGCAAAAGAGAGGAAGACCCTCAACAAGACAGACGGACTGACACAATGACTACAATAGGCTTGAGCAGGGTAGAAAAGGTTGTCATAAAAGCCAAGTACGGTGAGGGGCCAAGGAAAACACTCAATGAAGCGGCATGCCAGAGGAGTCATAAGGCTGGACCCAAAGATATCAACAGGCCTGCAGAAGAAGCAGGACTAAGCAATATTCTGCTGATATTCCTGGTTTGTTCACCCACTCAGTGGCAACCAGCAAGGATTGAGTTGTGTCTCCCAAAAATATATGTTGACTTGGTTAGGCCATTTATTCTCAGGATTGTGTAATAAATTATGTAGTGTGCTGTAAATCTTGAACTCTGTTATGTTAATGAGGCAGGGTTGTTGTGCTGCTGTTGTTAGGTGCCATTGAGTTGAGTACAACTCATAGCAACCCTATGAACAAAAGATGTGAACCCTGTTCTGTCCTGCGCCATCCTCACACTTTCTGGCACACAAGAGCCCATTGCAGCTGTCACCGTGTCAATCCACTTGGTTGAGGGTCTTCCTCGCCTTCGCCGACCCTCCACCCTTCCCAGCATCATGTCCCTCTTCAAGGAATAGCACCTACTAGCAACATGTCCAAAGTATGTGAGGTGAAGGCTCATCATTCTTGGCTCGCAAGAGCACTCCCACTGCACCATCACCAAGACATTATCTGTTCATTCTCTTGACCGTCCATGGGATGTTCAGTGCTTTTCTCCAACACCACAGCTCAAAGACATAAATTCTTTTTCTGTCATCTTTATTCACTCTCCAGGTCTCAGATGCATAGCTAATAATCAGAAAGACTATGGCATGAATCAGATGCACCTTAGTCCTCAAATTGACATCACTACTCCTCTATAATTTGGAAATGTCCCTAACTGCAGATTTACCCAGTGCAATGTGCCTCCTCCTTATTTCTTGACTGCTCGTACCATGGGTGTTAATTATGGATCCAAGCAAGAAGAAGCTGATAACAGTTTCAATCTCCTCTCAATCCATCACGGCACTGCCTATTGGTCCAGTGGTAAGAATCTTTGTTTCCTTGCTATTGAGACACAATCCATACTGAAGGCTGCACTCCCTGATCTTCTGCAGCAAGTGCTTCAAGTCCTCACTTTCAAAAAGTAAGGTTGTGGGGAGCTCTGGTGGCCTACTGGCAAGGAGCTGCAACTATAATCCCAGAGGTGCACGGTTCAAATCCACCACATGCTCTGCCGGGGAAGGAGGGACAATCTCCTCCTGTACCAGTCAGATCTGATTTGACGGTACACACACACAAAAATAATAAAATTTAAAAAAAAATAAGGTTGTGTCATCTACATAATGCAGGTTATTGACGAATCTCCCTCTGATCCTGATGCCACATTCCTCTTCATACAGTCCAGCTTCTCGGACAATTTGCTCAGCATACAGACTGAATAGATATGGAGAGAGAATACAGCCTGGACACCCTCCTTTCCCAATTCCAAACCATGCAAATCAATACAAAACAAAGGAGGGGGAATGTTTTCCAGCAGAAAAGGAGACTAAGAGATTGGACATCATAAGGCACCAAATTCAGGGGGGCACTCATGTCATCCAATCAAGGGGCCAGGAAGAAGGGGCCAGCGAGTCCAGGCCTACTGTTCAAGACACAGAGAGTGACTACTCCTCCAGCCACTAACAATCTGGCCTCTAGAGCACCAGGAGGAACGCTGCGGTAACGTGCACGTCAACACCCTGGGGATGTGGGGATTTACCTCCAGCCCCGCTCATAGCTTCCCTAAAGGAACAGGAATTTCACAAAGGGTGTGATTTTCCTGTTTAAAGATGCTTATTTTTGTGCCACAGGCTCTCCAAAGCCAGCCAACTGCTACATCTGGGGCTCAGCTGAAGAAATAGCTGTGTGTTCCATCATGGAGGGAGGCTGAGCTGTGCTGGACCGCAAAGAAAACGGGAGGCCCCCTCATTCCTTCAATGTGGCATCAATATGGGATTTTCACAAATAGTTCACTATTTTTGGTTAGAGAAAGATCATTTCTTTCTCATATACGGGACTAACAAAAGAGAAATGTGAGTTTATATTCATTTAAGAGAATTTGAAATCTTTATAAATATTTACAAAATTAAAACTCAGAGAGGATAAGAATGGCACAGGGTTGGTCAGAGTTCAAGTCTGCTGTTCATAGAGTCGCTGTGAGTCTTACTTGATTAGAAAGAACCTAACAACTTTGAGCCTAGAACTGAAATCCTGTTCTCATCTTCCCTGTGTCTCAAAAGCCCTGTGAACTCAACTTCCAGCCAAATAATAAAGCCTATAAGGAGATCAATAACACTAGGGAGGGAAGCATTCCCTAGAAAAATAAGCCATGCAAGATCAAATGTGCAGCATTTCCTAAATAAACTAGGAAAGGTTTAGGAGCTAAAGAAAGAAGGAGTAAATTAAAATGGCAGACAAAGAGAGGAGATAGGCAGTGTTGTTATAATGTGTGGTTATAACCAGTGTCATAAACTCACTGGGTGCAAACTGTACTGTTGAGTGGATAACCAAATAGTTCTGTAAACTTTTACTCAAATAAATAAATAAATGAAAAAGTTAATTTTGGAAAGTGCAGAATGAAAGAAAGAAGAACAACAGTCTAAATAATATTCCTCATCATTGAAGACCAGAGGTATAGTCGTTATTACTCAAAATTATAAATGAGGAAGTTCCTTTTTCAAAGTTTTCCCTAAGGAAGAGGTTTTTTTTTCTTTTTTGCCACAAATATTTCTTAAACAACCACTTTTTGCTTCTAGCGACCACTCTGACACACAACCTCTATCAGCAAGAATGACTCGGGGAGAAAAGTTTGCTTTGTCAAATTGCACTCAAATTGCAGTTTTTTGTTGTTTTTTTAAAAAATTATTTTATTTTATTTTATTATTTCTGTGTGAGTGTACCGTCAAATCAGATCTGACTAGTACAGAAGGAGATTGTTCCTCCTTCCCCTGGTGGATTTGAACCGTGCGCCTCTGGGATTGTAGTTGCAGATCCTTGCCACTAGGCCACCAGAGCTCCCCTCAAAGTGCAGTTTTAAGAAGGAATACAGACCAGCTACTTCTGCCTTCCAAAACCTCACAACCTAATAGGAGGTAAAACATAGCACCATTAACAGTACACTGTATGGGACGTTTGGGAAAAAAATGTGGGCCCAGCTCTTCTATAGGAGGGGCTGGGAGATAAGGGAGACAAAGGCAGAAGGGCATTTAAGACATAGCAAAGACCACAAACTGGCCAGGTGTGTTCTAAAGACACGCAGAAGGGTAGAAACAGACACAGAAAAGATCTAGGAAAGCAAACAAGCAGCACAACAAGGACATTTGTGTGGGCAGCTTTAGATCTTCCTTGGAATAAAAAGTGAGCCCATCCCAAAGCCACGTCGCCAGTGCAAAGCAGGTCTCCACTGTCCCACTGCCATAAAACCCAAGACACCACTTACCCGGATAAGAGAAGCCTGAAGACGAGGGGGCTTGGCTCCGGGGGCCCCTGACGAGCTTCCTTCAGGTTGGACGAGGGACTGTCTGGCCTCATATGAAGCTGAAAGAGCAAGAGGCAAAGTTAGTACGGTATCCCAAGCTTCCACCTGGAAATGACACGACTTCACGCTCAAATCAATGCAGCATCTGCCCTTCAGGGATGAATCAGAAAAGGAATCCGAGGGGATGCAGAGGACAGATGAACACTGATGTGCTTGAACACAACTTAACTGGACAAGCTAAAGACAGAAACCAATCAATGAGGAGGCCATGAAATCTTTATATCTGACTGCATAGCAAGTAACTGTGAAGACTATGGCATGGATCAGGCACACCTTAGTCTCCAGGTTCACATCCATGCTCTGGAGAGGCCCCTGATAATTTATTTTCCCAGTGCACTTCATCTTTGGATTTCCTGACTGCTGGTGCCAAGAATGTCAACTGTGGAGCCGAGCAAGCTGTAATTGTTAACAATCTCAGTATCTTCTCCATCTATCATGATGCTGCCAATAGGCCCAGTGGTGAGAGTCTTTGTTTTCTTAATACTGAGCTTCAATCCATATTGAAGAGTACAGTCCTTGACCTTCGGCAGCAAGTGGTTTGGGTCCTCCTCAGTCTCGGACCTTGGAAATGGACATAATGCTTAAAAGGGTGCAGGGACAAAGCAGGAAAGGTGGATTGACACAGTGACCAGGGTAATGGGGCAAGTGTATCACAGACAGTGAGACTGGCTCAAGATAGGGAAGGGTTTTGTCTTCATTCTCAAAGAGGTGGGCTTGAGAAAGTGTGAAAATGCCTTTGGCAAGAGAGTTACTATATCCCTTCTTGGAAGATGAAAAGAAAAAGCATTAAAAGAATGACTAGTTCAAAGCCCAAACTTTCATTTTATGGATGTAAAATGTCCAGGTTGAGACAAGATGACCACAGTGTTCAGCCGTGCACAGAACAGCGGTTCTTTGTGTAGGTTGTTCAACAGTGTTGTGTCCACCCACAGGAGGGAAAGCCAGATTCACAGAAGGTTGTTCATTCTGAAGAAAGCAACCCTAATTCTCTATATGACTTCCCGGATTTCTATGCAGTCACAGAAAGCCTTACCACTCAGTAATTCTGGTTAATGCACCAAGATAATATAGTAACATTTCATTTTTTGGTGAAGTATGTGGCACTTATTTCTTTTGGTGTCATTTTTTTCAATAAAACTTTTATTATGGGGGGAGGGAGAGACAGGGAAGGGTGCCGAGTTCTTGTGCACAGGGTTGCTATGAGTTGCAAGCAATTTGATGGCACATAACAACAGCAGCAGCAAGGATGAGAATAAAGTGAAAGTGGAATGGTGAAAACCTAAATGGAGATGGAGAACAAAAGAAGTGAGAAAAGTGACACATAATAACGTGTATACGATCTATATGTAAAGTAAATTCTATATACACCTGTGTCAAAGTTCTCCTCTCATGATATACCCTATGCCCCTCGAGAAAATGAATGTTGGATTATATTTGGGGGTTGGGGGATGTGGGGGGGGATTGCGTAGCAATGAGGGAGTTTTTCTTTTGCATTTGAAGGAGAGGAGCAAACGGGGGGGGCGGGGAGAGGGGTGCAACAATGAATTAATGGAATTCCAAAATCTCTGTAGATGTTCATTGAAATGAAAAATAAAGAAATTTAAAAAAAAGAAAAGAAAATGAATGTCGTCTTCAAACATTAAGAATCAATACTATTGTTTATTTAAGGAAAACTTTGAATGGCATATATATTTTAAAAAGTATTCCCCCTTCTCTTCCTAATGGGACAGATATCCATTAATATCTTTGTAAGTTGTTGTTATATGCAGTCAATTTGCCTGCACCATAGCAACCTTATGTATAACATCTCTGAACCCTGCCTTGTCCTGACCCAGTCTTACTTACTCTTGACACATCTACCCCCATTGCCCCAGTTACTGTATCAATCCATCTCATCCAGGGTCTTCCTCTCCTGCACTGTCCTTCCACCCATGATGTCCTTCTCCAAGGACTGGTATCTGCTGGCCACGTGCCCAGTTTGTGAGATGGAGTTTCAAAATCCTAGCCTCCAAGGAGAAACTTGGTTTCACCCTCTCCAAGACAGACCTATTTGTTTTCTTGGTGGTCCATGGTATGTTCAAGACTCTTCTCCAGCACCACATCTCAAAGGCATCAATTCTTCTTCTGTCATCCTTAGTCACTGACAAGCTCTCTGATGCATAGCAAATAATTGCAAAGACCATGGGTTGGATCAGGTGCACCTTAGTCTCTAGACTGACATCCTTGCTTCTCAGCACTCTGGAGAGGTCCCTGACAGCAGATTTTCCAAGTGCAATTCATCTTTTGATTTCTTGACTGCTGATCCTAAGAGTGTTGATTGTGGAGCCAAGCAAGCTGTAGTTGTTAACCTCAATCTCGTCTCCATTTATCATGACGCTGCAGCAAGTTTTCAGAGACAGTTAAACACATGGGAGAAGACTTCCCATACTTTTCTCATGAAGCAGCTGGTGGCCTCAAACTGCGTGCCTTCAGGATTACATCACAGCTTCTTGCCACTAGGCCACCAGAGCTCCCTACTTTCTTTATAAGTATATAAAGTTATGAAAAGGAATAAATGTGCTTTGTATTTATCAGTTCTTATTTTCTGATCCATCAGCTATACAGTAACTAAATCATGGAAATACAGAAGCTAAAAATATTGTTTCTCCCTTTAACAATATGTAAGCAACCAAACACACACACACACACTCTCACTCTCTCTCTCTCTCTCTCTCTCTCTCTCTCACTCTTCCTTCTTTTCCCCAGAACACTTGACAATGACCTCGAAGGTCTTCGGGAGAAGGTGCACAGAACCTATGAAGCTCTGGGCCTTACAACAGACAGGAGGAATTCTCCCTCAGGCTGGAACCTGCCCGACCTCTTTGGGCTAAGAGTTCAAGTTTAGGAAAGTATATAAGTGAATGTAATGCTTGCTTTCTGAAGTTTACTGACACATAAAATGGGGCAGAGAGCAGAGCAGCCTTCCACAGTATCTCAGTTAACATCTTGTGGTCTTTTTAAAATGAAGAAGGTTCAACGGGGCGCCTCAAGGACCACACAGCACTCGCGGGCTTATATCTGCGGTTTTTTCCCCCTTTCTCCCTCGCAACTTTAAACTGCAGGAGAATCTCCCAATCGCCAACCAGCTAAGCAGTAAGAGGGTTTTCAGAACCTACTATAGATGGGCGCAAAAGAGAAAAACTGCCTAGGCAGCATTCACAAAAAGCAAAGAATCCCCTTCTTTCCAAAAAAGGACGATCAGAGGGTGTCATGGACACGTGATAGGAAGCACTTGGCAAAACCCAAGGGACTGCATAAAGCAATGTCAGCTCAGGAGCTGGGTTAACAATAATGTATCGGACTGCAAACAGACCCCCTGTGGTGACAAGTGGCCCACACGGACATGGGATGGTAGGAAGAGGAGGAAGAGCGTGGGGAAGAGGAAAGGGCATAATAGGAACTCTTCAGTATGTTTTGCACAATTTTACGGCAAACCTAAAACTGCTGGAAGAAATAAAATACATTTAGGAAGAAATCCTTTTGAAATGCAGGAGGTAGGGGATGTTTCGGCTGGCCAGCAGGCACTTTTCTTCAATAAGTAGGACTTTTGAAATAATTTTTCTTTAACGTTACAGCAAATTAAACCCTTAAGATGAACTGCTCTATGCTGAAGGTTGTCCTTACTGTCAACTGGAGCGCTAATGGGGTACTACCAGCCATCGTCTCTGCCAGAGAAGCTGACTCCATGCCTCTGGTTCCCAGACAGGAAGGGTGGGAGGAAGCCAGTGGGCCTGAGGCTCCAGCCCCTTGCCTACAAGACCCTGTCTTGGATGAGACGGCTTGAAGGAGTGCCCAGCTGTGTACAGATCACTTCTAGAGACCCGGCTGTGCAGCGGTGCCTCTTCCCCGCCCTGTGAGAAGCACAGGTTGGCCAGGCCTGCAAAGGTGAGTTTACGAAGCCCATGGGGCCACAAATCGAAGTCATGTGCTCCTATCATCTGCATTGGGAAGACCACCATCATTTCTCAACTAGATGTGACCTCGGAGGGAAAAAGAGAAATGGTATTTATTGCTTCTACTCGCTAGGCTCCCAAATGAAATGCAAACCAAGCAATTCAATGCAAAACAAATAACTCTTCGCTCCCTTCACATGAGGTTGGATAAAGGACAGAAAGTACCACCCTCTTCAAGAGGAGGAATGTAAACAAGTTCTAAAGATTCTGAACTGGAACACAAACCTCCAGTAACAATAATAAAGGCTTCGTGTATGCAGCCAGCCCAGTGGATCTTGTCCAAGTGACTTTCAAGAATCCTTTTCAAAAAGAAAACCTGTGCCAGAGTCTGGAAACATGAACCTGCCAGGAACAGTGTGCTTGGTGCTTTGTGGAACATCTCATCTGACCCACCGAGCAGAGCTCCGAGGCAGGGATCACCCCCCTTTCCAGATAATGGAAAGTGAGGCCCAGAGAAATGGAATACCCACAGTCGCCCAGGCTAGAGGTGGGCAGAAATCAGTAACGACAGTCCACCAAGTCGGCCTTTTAGTCCAGGAGTTTATCTTTACAGGTCATGTCCTTCAGTGAGGGTGTATCTTCTAGAACTGAGATGTTAGAAAAAGATGCCTCAGGATATGAACAGACACTTCACCAAAGAAAACATTCAGATGGTGAACAAACACATGAAGAAAATGTTCAAAATCCCTAGCTCACAGATAGATGGAAATCAAAACAGCTATGAGACAAGGGGTCTCTGATGCCCGAGTGGCAAGAAGCTGTCTAGCAATTCCAAAGGCACACAGCTTGAATCCACCAGATCCTCCACTGGAGAAGGAGGGGCAATCTCCTGTGCCTGTCAGATTTGATTCGACGGTACACAACAACAATAATTTAAAAAAACAACCCTATGAGATATGATCTCACCCCAGTAACAATAACAAAGTTAAACAGAACAGCAAACAACAAATGCTGGCGAGGTTGTGGAGAAATTGGAACCTTTATTCACTGTTGGTGGGAGTGTAAAA